CAGTGCCTGGACCAGATCGATTATCAGGTTCTTATTATAAACGTTTTGAGGATGAACTTTTACAACCTTTATAAAACACAATGAACTCTTTCTTACAGGGAGGAAAGATCCCAGAGAGTTGGAAGGAGGCACTAACTAATGTAGCACTAACACCTAAAGAAGGGACAAGATTTGACTTTAACAAGAAACTATAGGCAGGTATCATTTTTGAATAATTACTAAAGTTGTTTACAACAATTCTGGCTGATAAACTGAAAATAATTTTGCAACAATTTATTCATGAGGTTCAATGTGGGTTTTTACCTAAAAGACAGTTAAAGGACAATGTTAGAAATGCGTTGGACATTTTGGAATATTTGGAGCAACATAATGAAAAACAAAGCCGCATTGATAATCTTAGATGCAGAGAAGGCCTTTGACAATCTGAACTGGGCCTTCCTGTTTAAGTTTTGGAAGATATGAACTTTGGAGATAATTTTATAAAATGGGCAAGATCAATTTACACTTCACAGAAAGCACAAATAATTGTTAATGGAGATCTAATAAAGCCTTGTGAGATACAAAAAGGAACAAGACAGGGATGCCTACTGTCTCCTCTCTTGTTTGTTTTGGTTCTTGAAATACCGAACAGAGATATAAGACAAGATGAGAGAATTGTGGGAGTAAAGATTTAAAAAAGAAACATATAAGTTAAGGGCTTTTGCAGATGACTTGGTACTGCTTTTGGAAGATCCTTTAAAGGGAGTTGAAACATTAATGGGAAAATTAAAAGAATGTGGTGCACTACCAGATTTCAAGATTAATAAATAGAAGATGAAGATGTTAACAAAAATATGAAAACAGAAGATCAAACAGAATTGATGAATAAAGTAGGTTTTAAGATTGAGAAGAAAGTAAAATATCTGGCTATCACTATGACAAATATGAACTGTATATTATTTCAAAATAACTATGTTAAGACATGGAATGAAGTTTTAAAAAGACATGTTAAGATGGGAGAAACTACAATTGTCATTGCTGGGGAGAATTTCTGTGGTAAAAATGAATGTCTTGCCTAGAATGATGTTTTTGTTTCAGACAATACAGTACCTGTTTTGACAACTGATGCACCATTTAAACAGTGGCAGAAGGACATATCTAAATTTGTGTGTCAGGGGAAAAAACATGAGTTAAATATAAGGTGTTACAAGATACAAAGGTAAGAGGAGGATTGGGTCTACCTGATTTGAAATTGTATTTTGCAGCTTGCTGTTTGGTTTGGATGAAAGAGTGGGTGCTGCTGAGAAATAGAAGTTATTTTGCAGCTTGCTGTTTGGTTTGGATGAAAGAGTGGGTGCTGCTGAGAAATAGAAGTTATTTTGCAGCTTGCTGTTTGGTTTGGATGAAAGAGTGGGTGCTGCTGAGAAATAGAAGTCTTTTGGAGTTAGAAGGACACGACCTGAGATTTGAGTGGCATGGATATTTGTGGTATGACAAAGTCAAGGTTAATGTGGATTTTAAAAATCATTAT